ATAAAAGATGCTTTGTAAAGCCATTTAACAAAGTTTAGAATTTTATTGAATAGTTAATATGGTTTCACTAAGGTAACATCTTGCCTTACTGCTTAGGTAGATGAAGGTAAGGGTGTAGATTTGGTGTATCTAGATTTTCAAAGAGCATTTGACAAGTTGCCACTTAAAAGGCTTGTAAAAAAATTATCTATATAGGTGTGGGGGGTAAGTTAGCAAACTGGATAGACAAGTGGCTGGATGGAGGAAACCAGAGGATTGTTACAAATGAAGTTCAGTCAAACTGGATTAATGTTACAAGTGGGATACCTCGGGGCTCAATTTTAGGACCTTTGTTCTTTTTGATTTGCATCAATGAAGGAATGGTCAACAGATTATATTAAGGTTTTGGGTGTTTTTCTAGCTATGAAGAGGATGCTGTTGATTTACAAAAGGATCATTTAGTGAGTTGGGCATTTAGTTATAATAAATGCAAGATAATGCATGTAGGTTACATTAATTTGAATTATAAATATAATTAAACTCAGTTATATTTTTCTAGCAGGGTGGTAGGCTTCTGAAATGGGTTGCCTTCAAATGTTGTGGAGGCAATAAAATTAAATGAGTTTAAGAGAAAGCTTGATAAGTATATGAATGATATGGAGTGGCTTGAAGATTTTCTTTTCAAATTTATTTGTTAAAAGTTTTAGTTTAGTTTAGGGGATGGTACAGCCAAGATGGACCAGCAGGTCCCATATTGTCCCAAAATATTATGTTATATGTTATGTTATAATACTAACCAATTCTGGAGCATAGATGTTACAAGCCACACTACTATAGTAAGTCTGGTTATTAACGTTTTGAATACTTGCTGGCTCGTTTGGGGATATGTTTTGCTTCTTTTGATCATTAGATGGTGTAGCAGGAGAATTTGGAGCCCACCACTGATGTAGTTGATCAACTTTATTTGCTTGGCCATGACCATTAAGAACAACCAAAGCTTTCTCCTGGCTCTCAGAACTACAGTGGCAAGTTTTATCACTTTTATAGATCTGTTGCTCAAGGTCTCGACTCTGTAAATAACAACAATAACAGTGAATTACTACGAAAAGAAGTTCATACATTTCAGTACTTTAACTTAATACACTATGCTTTACTCTGACTTTATTCCAAATTTCAGTAAAGCTGGAAAAACATTACAATACTGAGACCTTTGGGAACTAAATTTAACAGATATTTGATCATTTGTCTTTTAACTTTAAGATGCCTGGGTGCATTGATTTGTCACTTCTGTTGTGTGGTTTGTTATATTGCATTGAAAAAAAATTGATGATACAAATTAAAACCTGGCATTAACTTTCTTCAGCTACATTTTGTAGCTTCTGCAAATAAAATATTGTTACAACAGCGGAAGTCACGTGATGCTAGTAACATGTCATGAGATTCTAGAAGGATCATGACTGTTTGTGGCAACTCTAGCCTAGCCTTTTCTAGGCACCCTCTATTTTTGTATATAAGCCCGGCAAATAAAGCAGAGATATAATAATTGCAGATAGAGAGATAGAGATAGATAATTGAGTCAAGTGAGCGGTAGTGACCGTAAGTAAAGTGAGTGAATTACAGCGTGTGTTTAAGTTAAAGTGACTGTGGAAATTAAGTGTATTACAAAGTTTGTAACGAGAAAGATAAACTAGTTTTAATTAAGAAAGGACTTGTATCGCGGAAGTTTCTCAGAAAGAATTTTTACGGGAAATTATCAAACGAGCAGATACGTAAGAAATTGGTGTCAGAGAGTGGGACGGAAAAGAAAAAAGAAGATGGAAACGAGAAGTGGCAAATTAAACTACAGCTTAGCAGATTTGATGGCAACAATACAAGAACAGCAAAAGAAACAAGAAGACTGAGAAAATAAACAAGAGAGATTACAGCAGTGGTTGGAGGAGAAAGAAAAGAAACAAGAAGAGAGATTACAGCAGTTGTTGGAGGAAAAAGAAAAGAAACAACAGGAGAAATTACAGCAGTGGTTGGAGGAAAAAGAAAAGAAACAAGAAGAGAAATTACTGCAGTGGCAGCTCGAACAGCAAAATAAACAAGAGAGATTACAGCAATTGTTGGAGAAAAGAAACACGAGAGATTACAACAGCTGTTGGAGGAAAAAGAAAAGAAACAAGAAGAATGAAAAATTAAACAAGAAGAGAGACTACAGCAGTAGTTGGAGGAGAAAGAAAATGAACAAGAAGAGAGACTACAACAGTGGCAACTGGAACAAGAAAGAAACAAGAAGTACAAATGTAAAAGCTTAGTAAATTTCAAAGTGAATTAAATACCTTAAAGGATGATTTACTGTCTTTTACACAAGGAGGATATATTAGCCATGGACCTAATCAGCCTCAGACAACAGAAAGCCCCTTCCAGATCCCGCAGCTAATCCTTAATGCAGACATCTTCAGTCCTGTCAGAAGTCACATTCCAGACATGAATGTCAGCAATAGGGGTGGTCTAATACAAAGGAAGCCACAGGAATTCGATGGGAAGGCACCATGGGAAGCATATAGAGCACAATTTGAGCTCCTGGCAGAAATGAATGGGTGGACAGAGGAGCAGAAAGCAGGGTACCTGGCAACGAGCCTTAAGGGACAACCACTGGAAATACTTGGATAGTTGTCAGTAGACAACAGGCACAACTAGCACTGGTAGCTGCTCTAGAAATCATGTATGGAACTCAAAATCAGTCTGAAGTCTACAGAGCTAGGTTTAGGACAAGAGTCCATGCTAAAGGGGAGAGCCTGCTAAGAGCTGGCACAGGATTTGGAAAGTATGGCACACAAGGCCTACCCAACTGCACCACCAGATGTCCTCAAGCTGTTGCTGAGGGATCAGTTTGTAGATGCCTTGGATAGTCCACAACTGAAGATACAAGTGAAGCAAGCACACCCCTCTACTATGCAGGATTCAATGGCCAGAGCTCTTGAGTTTGAATCCTACATTAAGTCCAGCACAGAGGTACCAAGATTAGTTCAGCCATCAGGATTCAAGGCCAGAAAAGGTCAGCTTTAAGAAAGGTTTGAGGGATTTTGCTGACACTGTAACAAACCTGGGCACAAGAAAGCTCAATGCTGGAAACTTCCACACAGGGAAGATGCCACAGCAGGACAGGCTGCTACCCAGAAAGGGTGTTGGAACTGTGGAGAGCAAGGACATATGGGGAACCAGTGTAAGAAGAATACTAACAATAAGTCAGCTTTGGGAAAGCAGTAGTGGTTGGTGCTGAGGGATGCCCACCAACCCGCATTGTGAAAGTCCCAATAGCTAAGTGTAAAATGCCAAGCACACATAGTGTCTACATGACGGGAAAGCTGGATGGCCAAAGGTGCAACTTTGTCATAGATTCTGCATTTCAGCAAACCCTTGTGAGCACCAAGGTGCTGGATAACAAAGGAGTACCAGAAGCCATACAGAAGCTCTGTGGGGTGCCAGGACATTATGCAAGGTTGTGGGGACC